TGTAACATCTCCCCTTCTCCATCAAATCATTCATTTCCTCTTAAACATCTTTGAATCCCTCTTGACCCTCTAATAAAGTAGGGGTATATATTAAATGGTAAGGATAAAGCTAAGACCAATGTCAGTTTTTTTTTTTTTTTTCAAAAACAAAACCAAACCAAACCAGTTTTCTCTGTCCAACCCCCATGCATTGCATGAGTTTTTAGTTGTTAGCTTATTTTTAGCATAAAAAATTGATGTTAAAGCCTAAGTTTATCAACCCAAACCTAACCAGTTTTCTCTGTCCAACCCCATGCATTGCATGAGTTTTTAGTTGTTAGTTTATTTTGTGTACCTAAATCACAATGCATTGCATGGGTTTTTAGTTGTTAATTTATTCTGTGTACTTAAAGCACAACTTTCCACTTCAGCTCATTTGTCTTTTCTGTTCACAGTGTTTCTCAACTCGGGCTCACAGCTTGAAGCGGAATTGGAATCCAAATAATCTATTCATTTCACTTGTTTGGTTTAGATTAGAATCAGAATCAAAATTCAGAATTGGCTGGAATGGATTTTCATTCACAGGAGAGGGGGAGGGAACGAGTATTTCCCCCAAATGGGAGAATGTCATTTCACTAGAAATGGGAATGAAATTCCAACCAAACAGTTAAAATTGTAGTTTACTATTACGATTTCAATTCCAAACCCCTATCATTGCAAACCAAACGGACCTTTAGAATGTATGCATATATTTTTGAATTTTTTAAATAATAAAAGCAACAAATTAAATTCCCCTTTTAATAATAAACTGAATAACAATGAAGTCTGTCCGGAGTTTCACCTCTGAAGTCTGATCCAAAATCCAAATAAGTAACGGCTAAGATTTTCTAATTTTCTCATTTAAGTTGGGAGGTGGGACCTACCAAGTACCAAGTACCAACCAATACCATCAAGGCAAGGCAACCCGCCGTTCTTTTTCTTTTGTTACTACGGGGAAGGGGAGGGGGAGGGGGTAATTTGGAAATTTACAGAATCACAAAGTAATAATCGCTGATCGGTGACGGCGCTGGCGTATGCGAGCGAAGTGCGATTCGTTTCCCATACTTGCATTTAATTCTTCGCGCCCTTTTCGTTCTTTCCCATAAAAGGTTATTTCCTATTTCTTTTACAACTACTGCACTGCTGCTCCCGGCGAAGCGGGGAAAAAGAGAAAATTAGCTCTGGCCGGAACACAGGTCGATTTCTCTGATCTCTCTTTCTTAATTCGTCTTCTTCGTTCATATTTATAGATAATTGATTTTCTTGGGCTTTGATTTTGTATAGGTGCTTTGCTCTCAATTTGCAAGAAAAGAGGAAGAACATCTTTTGTTTCAGAGATGATTAACGGTTCCGGCATTGCGAGGAGAACTCGGTCCCAAGAAGCCCTCTACTTCAAACGTGTATATGAGAGTATGCATGGTGTTACAGACGATAATGTGAGGGTGGGAGAATGCAGTGGTAGCAAGAGGACGCGATCTGCCGGAGGAAGAGGGAGAGCTCGGGCTGGGGCTCCTGTGAAATTACAGTCTGGTAGAAGGAATGAGGGCAGTCGCTCTTCAAAAATTGACATTCCTGAAGTTATTCCTATTGAGGAGGAGGAGGAGGAGAAGGAGGGGGAAGTAGAAGGAGAAACAGATGAAAGTGGAGGTGAAGAAGCACCATCCGAATCTTCTTCCGAGGGTTCTGGGTTGAACAGGAGACCGGAATCAGAACCCAAGGGTGTTGTTATAATCGATGTAGATGAAAGTCAAGAAGAGTATGAAGATGAAGGAAGTAGTGACGGGGAGTTTATTAATACCTCGGTTGGTTCCGAGAGTACCGAAAAAGCGGGACCAGAGAAAATCAAGAATTTACAATACCTGGAAGAAGAAGAAGAAGAAGAAGAAGAAGATGGTGATAATGTCAGAACGCCTTGTAGAAGAAAGGATGAGCATCAATTGGATTTCAATCACAAAGAGAAAAATTGTATAGCAAGGAGAACCCGCTCAAATGTTCGATGCTGTAAAAAGCCTCAGAATATTCGTACTAGTACTTATTTAGATTCAGAGGATTCTGAGTCATCTACCGATGATGACAATGATGATACTGAAGATAAGGACTATGAAATGGATGGGTCGCACAATTCATGTAGTGTAGAAGAATCAAATTCGGATGAAGTAGAGTCAAGTTCCGATGAAGGAAATGAAGGCGAAGAAGAGACGTCAACTTCTGTTGAAGGGGATGGAGAAAGCAGTGATGTAGAAGTTGTAAAGACGGGGAATTCTGATAGGAAGGGGAATGATGGGAGTGTTGGCACTCAATTAAGGAGAAATAGATTTTCTGGCATGGATACCGCACTTCCTTCCTGTAGTGCTAAGAGAGTGAGTTCTCTACTTCCTTCTAATAGTGGTAAACCAAACTCCAGAAGAAAAGTTGATTATGATGCTTTTGTAGCAAAACAAACCCCATTACAATTTGGTTTAGGATCTGAGAAGGAGATGGAGCTTGGTACTGCTAGTCACCCAATTTGTTTGGAAAAGGAGGAAATTGATTTTTTATCTAATCACAGTGAGAGTGACGATGAAGATAATGATGAAAAAGTTGGTGGAATTGATGAAAACAATGACAACTATGAGACTAGGGAAGGTGACACAAAAGAAATAGGGGGAGAAAAGGAAGATGAAATAGGGAATCCCACGAAGAGAAAGCGTGTCCATGCACCACAAGCTGATCAACTTTTCATGGCTATGGTAAACTCCATTTGGGAGAAGGARGATCTCATTGAGAAGTTGATTCCTAAAAGAGATATAGCTATGCCTGTGGTTGAGCCAGAGCTATCATTGAAGTTCTCATTTGGAATTSAGAAGCCTAAGCCAGTGGAGAAATCAGACTTTGAGAAAGAATTAGATCAGCTGTGGACTGAGTTTGATTTTGCTCTCAAATCCGATGAAATTGGTTCCTTTTCTTCTGTGGTAAGTTTTTCATTAAAGAGAGGATATTTATTTTGCCTAGATCATTACTAAAAAGTCATCGATTTATGATTTCTATATTTGTTGCATTATGGGCTTTATTTTGGGRGTGGGGGGTAAAAGTATGGACTATTAATAAATCATTTTAGGCAAATGTGAATGTTTATGAAAACATGTAACACGATTACTCTATCCAGGTTCAGAGTCTTCAGACGTCATCATATGGACAGTAAAGCATCAGAGGGGCTACCCATCTAATCAAATTCATTAGTGTGTATTGAACCACAATAATGCAAAATAAATAAATAAGCATGTTTATCTCTCTTGTATAGAACTTCRCATAAAACTTGATGCTTCCCATTATAGAATTTTTCATATCTTACTTCAAAATCTAATTCAGAGAAATCATGAAGGATATACAATTAATTTTAAGAAGCATCCATACTTTCCACCTATATGTCACTCACTCCCATTTCATATCCATGCTCCATGTTTCCACAAAATTAGCCATTTGACACATGTTTGCAATTTTGGAGGGTCATCTTGAACTGTTAAGTATTTTATCTTGAAAACCTTTTATGTAATCTTGAAGATATAAAGTAAGATCATAATCTTGTCATATCTTAGTGCCCAATCCATGTACCTGGAGCACCACTTCTTCCATGAGAGTCCAGACTGCAGATTGGCAACTTTAGAGTTCTGGGAGAATGGCTCTCATTCTCCTACCATGCTCTCTACTTTTTCTGCTTTCAAATCGTTTATAGTTCTACTCATAAACTAGGTTGATCGTGATAGATAGAAACATCAACTCTGTGCACATGGAGTTAACAGGCTGATATGGCATATCATGATTGGCCTAATATCTTCTAGTTATTGCAAAGCATTTGGAGCTGCTGGGTCATATAAAGAAAGTAAAGAAAAGGACTTGCTTAGTCTTCAGTATTCTTTCATATGAAAATAAGGAAATTACTTTCTTCTTGATTAAACAGTACCTTGTTAAATAAAGTAGTTACTTTGAAATAAAGAAATCAGTTTTTTGAACAAAAAATGCTTTTTGTTAAATATAAATACCCATATTACATATTCAAATTAATTATTTTTTTCTAAACAAAAGAGGAACAAGCCTATTTAAAATTATAAATCACCTATTATTACTATTTTTTATCAATAAGACTACTAAAATTTAATTGGCACAAAAATACATATTACTTGCTTGTATAAAAAGGCCATTACCCAATATTGGTCACAGTTATCTGGGGTCTTGGGAGGGGTGGACTGGAATGTACTATAGTATAAGGCACAAAAGTTGTCAAAGGTTAGGCCCAATTGGCTTTGGAAATTCTTTGAAGGCTGAGCTGATGGCTTATTACGAAGCCTCAAATTAGCTAAGCAATTGGGATTTATAATGATTGAGGTGGAAGGAGACTCACAAGTACTCATATCTTGGGCTAAATCCATTATTCCTCGGTCCCTAAAGTATATTCTAAGGGAAGTGGAAACGATTGCAGAAGAAATAGTGGCTGAAATTAAATGGATTAGAAGGAGTGCAAATGGTTTAGCTGACACCTTAGCTAAGCAAGGGGCTATGAAGCAAGGACTGTTTCGGGCATCCTTGTAATTTGGAATAACAAAGTAGGCTAAAAAAGTTGTACTTCTCTTTTCTTCTTTTCAATTTTTTTTAATAAAATCAATTTTCTACTGATAAAAAAAGGTTAGGCCCATATCCAGTCCACCCCTCCCAAGACTTCAGATGTTTTATGTTTCTCATAACCTTAAAACAAGACATAAGTGAGAAAAATAGAAAGTAAATTGGATATGGAAAAGATAGTTGAAAAGGAAGAGGGGCTATTTTTTCTAGCAGGGGAAGAATTTGCATGAAAGATTTTAAGGAGCTGGAAAAAATATGTTTTTGGGTGTGGATGGTCCAAATGTAGTTGGTTGATGTTTGGGTCATGACTGGGGCTTGGGGTATGGAGGAAGATTTATTGCGTATTATGTGATGTTTTAGGACTTTGGCAGCAAGGTTCTTTACTGGTTTAGGGCCTGGGAGGGGGATAAGTTTGTATTCTAAGGGTTATAGGAGGATGCTGGTGAGTGGGATTTGAGTTTTTTCTTTTTTCATGTGGGTGATCCTTATCACCTTTTTTGTAATCTTTTCTTATTTCTTAATAAAATTTTCCTTTTATATTTATTACTAAAAAAAGAGATAAGTAATATATGTGAATATGTGATAAGATGTATTAATATAACATAACAATAAGATGCACATTTATGGGACAGTCACCTTGTAACTTTTGTCACCTAGATGTTTTCTTTATTACTTAGTGGATACCTTTCTAATAAAGCTCATGGTTTTCAGGCTATGACTAGACAAATCAAACTTTATGATTGGACCCTATTCTTGTATAGATAACATGTAAAATAACCAAAACAGCCTTGCTGCCCAAATACAAAAATATATAAAAGTTCAAAATGAAAAATCCTATATTTTGTTCTTTGGCTTTGCAGCCACTTCATGTATAGATGGATATGATTGCATTTCTATAGAGAGTGCAATCTTAATGTTTAACCTGTTCCTTTGTTTCAAAGTTTATGCATGCATATCATATAATAAATTGTAATTTAGAGGCTGGATGATGGTTTGCAGGTAGAAAATGAGTACTCTAATGTACCAGAGAGTGAAATGAATCAAGACACTCTTTGTCGTCTAGGGAAGCATGAGCTTATCCTTGATGAGAGGATTGGGATCAGATGCAAATTTTGCTCTTTCATAAAGCTGGAGATCAAATATGTATTACCACCTTTGGTAAGTCATTTTAGTTTATGTGGTCATTCTAATAACAATTAATGTTTCATTTAATTGCGCTTATATTAATTGAACCACTAGTTTTCCTTTTTCCTTTCTTTATTGGGTTTTGCATGTTATAGGGTACAAATCCAGTAGAAAGATCTGGCAAGAGAACTACTTCTGCTGAGGATGACGCCTCTTTGTTGGATGGGCTTCACTTTGAAGATGCAAGTGTTGATTTATGTGGTTCTTCAGTTCATACTAGAGGTACGGTATGGGACATCGTTCCTGGTGTCAGAGAGACCATGTATCCACACCAGCAGGAAGGTTTTGAGTTTATGTGGAAAAACTTAGCTGGAGATGTTGACCTTGAAAAGCTGAACAAGTCTACAGGTTCTGATGGTGTGGGTGGATGTGTCATTTCACATGCACCTGGTACAGGGAAGACCTTGTTGACAATAATTTTTCTCCAAACATACATGAGGCAATATCCTAGTTGCAGGCCACTCATTATTGCTCCTCGCAGCATGCTACTTACTTGGGAAGAAGAATTCAAAAAATGGAAGGTTGACATTCCATTTCATAATTTAAACAAATTAGAGTTTTCTGGCAAGGAAAAATTGGCAGCTCTTTCCTTGATGAAGATATCTGCACATCGAAATAAGAACTTCACTCGTATGATTAAGTTGTTTTCATGGAATTCAGAGACAAGCATCCTTGGCATTAGCTATCCTTTGTTTGAGAAGCTTGCTGGGGAAAGATTTGTACTTGATAAGGAAGGTGAGCAAATAAGGAAGATCCTCCTTCAAAAGCCTGGTCTATTGGTCCTTGATGAAGGGCACACTCCTCGTAATGAGCGCAGTCAAATTTGGAAAGCTTTGTCAAAAATTGAAACAGAGAAGCGCATCATCCTCTCTGGGACCCCTTTCCAAAACAACTTTAACGAGCTCTACAATACACTATGCCTAGTAAGACCAACATTTGCAGAGAAGATCCAATCTCAACCAAGGAAAATCTACCAAGGAAAAATTGTGGCAGAAAAGAAAGAAGCTAAAGGGAAATGGACTTCTCTAACCAGTTCTATTGGAAAACATGATGATAGATTGGAGGAGCTTCGGGCTATGATTGATCCATTTGTTCATGTTCATAAGGGGAACATTCTTAAAGAAAACCTTCCGGGATTGAGGGATTGTGTCATTGTGTTGCATCCACCTCCTTTGCAAAAGAGACTTCTTCAGGCCATTCAAGGGATCCAGAATCCGCTTGAATTAGAGTATATGGTATCTTTGCTTTCTGTTCATCCTTCTTTGTTAATAAGCATGAAGGGTTCGTTCCCTAGAAAAGAAGAATGCAACATTGAAGAATCAATTAATGAAGACATGCTAGAAAGGATCAAGTTGGACCCCAATGAAGGAGTAAAAATAAGGTTTCTCATGGAACTCATTCGGCTTAGTGAAGCAATGAATGAGAAGGTTTTGGTATTCAGTCAATTTATTGAACCTTTTTCTTTTATAAAGGAACAACTTAGATCTTTCTTTGGCTGGACTGAAGGAAAGGAGGTCTTGCAAATGGATGGGAAACTTGATGTAAAGATTCGACAGTCCTCAATCAATCTTTTCAATGATCCAACTAGTGAGGTTAGAATATTACTTGCATCAATGAAAGCTTGTTCTGAGGGAATAAATTTGGTTGGAGCTTCACGGGTTGTTCTACTTGATGTTGTTTGGAATCCATCAGTAGAAAGACAAGCTATAAGCCGAGCTTATAGATTGGGGCAAAAAAAGGTTGTGTATACTTACCATCTTATTACATCTGGAACGAAGGAGGGAGAGAAATATTGCAGACAGGCTGAAAAGGACCGGTTGTCAGAGTTGGTTTTCTCATCTAGGCACATGGATGGTGATAAACTAAACGCTTCACCAACAGTCTTGAAAGATGAGATGGAAGATAAAATCTTGGAAGAGATGGTTCGGCACAACAAACTAAAGGGCATGTTTGAAAAGATCATATATCAACCAAAAGATTCAAATTTATTTGGAGACTTTTGGCTCAACAACTCTCAGACAAGCACCTAACAGAGAATCTGTTAATGTGGTGGTAGACAATATCCTTGCTGGTTGGCATTTGAATGCAACTGTCTTTACTCAACAAGGCCCTAGTGGCTACATAATGGCAAGTCTTTCAGCTAACTGTTTCTGTTTAACTAGTGAATACTAAATAATCTTGATCCTGTTCTTACATGGTATAGTTTGTCTACCTAGGAGATATATTACTAATTGCATCTATACTTATACACTTGCTTAGGCTCTGGTGCTTTAGGGGCTGTTTGATAACAGGATGAACAAACTATACCAGTCTTAAATTTGCCTTCAATTCTTTTTGGAGTTCAAGTTCTTTTCATATCTGATTCCTTATTCTATTTTCCTTTTATTTATGTTTCAGGTCCTGTTGCTAAAATTTGATCGCCAAAAAAAGTGTATTGCAAAATTCCTTTATAGGCACAAGTTAGAAGTGATTCTGAAAATCAGATATCCCTCTTGCACTGGTAGCAGGTAGTCATTCTTTTGTGGCTAAGCTTGTAAAGTTCTATAGAACTGTCACGTTTTGACAGTATACATTTCAGCTTCTTTATTGTTTATTAATTTCAAAATTTCTCTTTTCATTTCAGTTGTAAAGATTCCCATGCTTGTATAAAAGCAGAATCTGTATTTCTTCTAGTCATTTTATTTCATTAATAATTTTTTGGAGTTACCAGTATTGTAGAAATTTGCTGTATAGATGAAAAGCTGAAAATATACATTTGGAGTATAGTTCATGCTGAAGATCCCTAAGACCAAGAAATTGCAGAAACCTCTGATACATGTGTTTTCTCTTCAGCAACAACAATAATGCCATCAAGGCAGTAAAAGTTATATCAAGTATAATCATCTATTTGGAATCCTTTGTAGGACACCAATATGATCGTCCCATAATGCACTCTGGATGTGCTGGTCTATTGACTGGATCCAGTTCTGGATCTCCAATGAGAAGATGACAGGTGTTGGGTGTGTGTGAGGAGGACATTTGAGACTAAAAAAGTTAAAAAAAAAAATTGAATTTTAAGAAAACCCAAACCCTAAAAGTAATTGACAACAATTGTCTTTCCGTTCCCTTCCTTGCCGCTGGCCCTCTATTTGAATCACATACCCAGCAGAAGGTTTCCTAATAATCTGAAGTCTGAACAGGTATACAGCTTTCTCTCTCTCTCTCTGCTGCATCATATTATGTTTTTGTTCTAATCTTTCAGGTATTTAGCAAAGCTCATGGTTCTCTGCAAGAACCCCTGATTTCAGATTAAAGTGCATTATTTTTTTCTGCATATCTTTACTCTTTGAAGTATTTTATATATTTGCATATTTTCTTTCTTTTTCTTTTTTAAATATCTCTTGTTCTGTTTCAGGTATTTATCCGCCTTAGTATGCAACAATAGGTATTTTCCCGACTGTGTGGTAGCCCAGTGCACAAGGCTCCTGCCAATGCGGGCTCTAGGGAGGGACAAAAAATTTCCTGGCAAAGCAAATAAAGATTGAAACATGGGCATAATTTTGATGTGACCATCTTTTTGTAAACCAAAGATGGAAAACCTACTTATTTTTCATCTTTTCTCTCTTCTTTGGTCCTCTTCTTCCTTGTTAAGTTTATTAATATTGCTAGGAATTCCCCTATAATTACTCATGTACTTTGAGATGATGTTTTTTTATTTAATATAAGATTCTAGAGGAGGCTAGTGAATTGTTGAGTATTTTGGGAAACTTTCAAGAAATTTATAGGCAGGTTATAAATTTTAAGAAATCAGGAATTTTTATTGGAAAGGGGGTTGATCATAAATGTGGTAAGATGCTAAGGAGACAATTGGGCATTGGTAATCTGAATAATTCAAAAAATACTTAGGAATTCTTCTTATTTTGGGCAAAGAGAAAACTGAATCTGTTAATCTTGTTATAGAAAAAATTAATCAAAAAATTGAAACTGGAAAAGAAATGTGTTGTCTCTGGAAGGGAGGGTTACTTTTAGTTCTTCAAACCCTACAAATTATTATTCAATTTCATAATCTTCTCTAAAAGCTCAATGATGAGAACACGCAAACAGGCAATCAGAACCTGATGCCATTTTGAATGTCTGCAAATTTCCATGGTTCAGGGTCTTTTCCCATTGCTTGTAGGAAGGGGTTGGGAGATTTTTTGGATCTGCATTTTTCGTTTGTATTCCCATGGCTGGGATGGGGTTTTTTGAATTTTTTGAAGTGGGTTCTCTGTAATTACCTGGGATGGGTTTTTCATAAGTTTTTGTGTTTGGTTATAGGGTTGGCTTTGTCTAAAGGTTTTTTGTTGTTAGGGTGGGTCTTTGCTGGGTGATTTCTTATTACCCTGTTGTATCCTTTGATTCCGTTCTCTCCTTTTCCTTAATAAAGTTTATTTTTATTTATCTTCAAAAAAAAATCTTCTCTAAAAGAGATGGATAAAATTCAAACAAATTTTTAGTGGAATAAAGATAAAAAGGACTATGGGTCCTTTGTTGGTGTTCATGGGATCAACTTTGTAAGAAGAAGAAAAATGTTAATAAGGCTTTACTATTCAAACTGCAATAGAAATCCATTAACTTTAGGGATGCTCTTTTGGTTAGACTTTTGAAATCTAAGTATTCGTCTAATAATGATTGGTGTCCTAGAAAGGTTAAAGCTCACGACTCGCCGATTTGGAAATGTATAGCTAAAAGTCCATTGRAGATGAAGGTAATATGGGAGAATGAGAGTTTTTAATCAGCCTTGTTGGGGAAGTGGGTATTGGGGTTTGGGTGGGAGAGGGAGGCATTGTGGAGGAGGGTAATTGTGAACAAATATGGGGTGGTGAATTTTGAATGGGACCCGAGGGATGTATCTTCTTCTTATGGGGTGAATGTTTGGAAGGGTATAATGAAATTCCAAGCTTCAGTAAAAGCTTGTGTTTCATGGAAGGTGGGAGATGGGTCTACAATTTGATTTTGGGAGGATGAGTGGTTAAATGTAGGGAAGCTTTGTTGTGGTCTGTCCTAGATTATATAGGCTGAGCAGAAAAAAATATCACCATTGCTAATTGTTTTGAATGGAGGCAGGGTGAGGTTTGCTGGTGCCCACTTTTAGAAGGCCTCTCCTGGATAGAGAGGTGGAAGAGTGTATAGTGCTGCTGGTCAGACTTCAAGAGACAGCAATTCAGCCCGTTCTGATAAGAGATGGTGGAAGGAGAGCAAAAATGGCAGATTTTCWGTTAAATCGTTCTACAAAGCCTTGGTGAGGAATCAGCTGGAAAGTGATCACATTGGAGGCATGTGGGGTAACCCAATTTCCCCCAGAATTGAAGCTTTTGCATGGCTGGTGGAAATGAACAGCATCCTTACTCAAGATCTTTTGAAAAAAATGGTTCCTTCTTGGCTAAGAGATACATCCTCTGTGAAATGGATTCAGAAGATGTGATGCATTTGATAGTCGACTGTGTTTATGTGAGCTATATATGGTTATTCTACTTTTGCCTCTTCAACATGGGCGGATGCCGGATGGGATACCCACTCACATAAGGAAATTTTTGAAAAGTGGCCAGGAATCATTAGGGGGAAAAGCTAAAATTATGTGGAGTTGTGTTTCATTTGCAGTCTGCTGGGAGGTGTGGAAAGAAAGAAATAGAAGAATCTTTTCCAACAAAGCAAGAGAAGAAGGAACGGCTTTGTACTGTTATTAGTTCAAGACTGGTGGAATGTATGTTATCTCTCCTAGAATTCAAAGACTTGAGGAGAGAAAATTTTGGTTCTGATTTCTGGATTTCTTTGAGTCTTTGTTAAATGATGCAAGAGTATATGTTAGTCTGTTATTTTGTTCTTTGTCTTATTTCCTTTTAGCTGTATTTTGGGTGATGACTTGTCACCTGCTGCATTGTACCTTCTTCTCATCTAATGAATTTTCTTTCTTATTTATCTTCAAAAAAAAAAAAGAAAGGAAAAGATTCAAATTCAAGTATGTAGAAATTCTTATCTACCTTTTGGACTAATGCATGGATATTGGGCAAAAATTGTTTTTAAAGTTCAACGGGTCCTGTGGTTTTAAGACTAATCTAAAAGTGTGAGATTTAATGGATAGTGAAGCTGGTAGGTGCCTAGGTGGAATTTTGGGATGTTCAGAGAAATATTTCTTGAAGAGACTGTAAATGATATTGCTCAGACATATATTGTTGCAAAATTCAATATAGTTTGATTGAGTAAAAAATGTGTTATTTCTGTCAAAGATTTCTGCAATATTTTGCAGGTTAGAAGTACTTCTCTGAATCCTATAGTGTCCAGGTTAATAAATAAGGTATGGAAGCTTAAAGACCCTCTGAGGTTTATGCCAAGGTTTTGTGTTTGTTAAATGTGATTTATTTAAATGGGTGTAATTCAGATAGTATGGAGGAAACTTTATATCATCTTTTTGTAGAGTGTCCTTTTATGAGGGCTGTTTTGTTTACCTGTCCTTTAGGTCAGGGTAAGTAGCACTTTAGATAGCCATGCTATTATTATACTTTGTGGAATATATTAGATTCTCTTCATAAAAACGTGTATAGAATGCATGTCTTGTCTTGGATAGCTATATGGTTATTCAGAAATGATAGGATTTTCAAATCAAAATAATGTTCTGTTAATAAGATGTGTTTTCAGGTAAGAGGAGATTTGGCACTTGTGCTAATCAATCCAAATCTCCAATGGGAACACCACCATTTCAACACTCAATCTAATCACTCATATTTTTATAATGTTGACTTTCTATAATAAAATATTGGGAAAGTCGAAATTTGGTAGGTGACATAGGACTAAGAATTAAGAAACCTTCTTCCATTTGTTTATTTATTTATTTATTATTTGAGTTATGCTAGTGAATTACTATTTGCAGAAAGTTCCTCGCTTATTTCTTTTTCATGTCTTATTCTTCGTAATGGGTATTGGCTACAACTCTGTCTGGTCTCTCATTCCATCTCCATCTCTGGCCTCATCAAATCCTGCTTTGACTGCTTTCTCGCCACTCAAAGCAAGACACTTCCATTCAGGATCTGTTGGTTACTTATTTACTGCCTGATCCCCAGTGAGAAGACGATAGATGTCTAGAGTACATCTGTAGTGCAAGCGTGTGGGTATCTAATGCCTCTGTTAAGGGGCCGTTTTTTATTTTTGGTAATTAAAAGTTTAAAACAACAAAGACTAGACTTAAGTACATTCTTTTTTTTGAGACAATAGGAAACAKAGTTCAGTTTATTCTTCAACCACACAGGAGGCTTATTCCACCAGTACATCATCCCATCCCATTGAAAACTTTCATATTTTGTGCTGCAGTATGTGCAGCTCTATTACCACTCCTACTTACAAACTAAACTTCAAAGAATAAAAAAAGTACTTTAGGTCCTAATATCATCCTAAATATAATTACAATCTCATGAATAGCACCTAAGAGTTCCAATTGCAGTACATGTAGGGACTTCTGAATTATTACAACTGCAGCACCAGGAAAAATACCTTCATTAGCTCTTGCAGCACAACCAATAGTAGAAGGCCCATCATTTTTAACTCCACTATAACAATTTAACTTGACCAAATCAACCAAGAGACCAACCCATTTAAATACCTGAAACTGAAACTCCTTTTGTCTACGTTACTAAAATTTTCACCACAATAAAAACTAAATCTTCTAGCATGCAATTTTTGTAGTATTACAGATATCATTGATGTGGAAGGCACGATATTCAACATTAAAAGATTCTTCTTGTCTTTGCCTCAATTTTATAGCTTTAATGTCAATTGTTTGTGGGAGGTTTGGTGGTTAGGTGGGTATTACCATGTACTTTCCTTGTGGGATTAGTCTTTTCTAAATCACGAATAAGACATTATTTCTTCCTGCTTTTAGTCTCTCACCATCATTCAACAATCACCTAGAAATGATAAAAAAAAATTCAACTATGTAGTTGCTAATAACCAAAAACTACAATTAGTTATTGAAGAATCTGTGATTAGCTTGGGTTGTGATGGGTGGAATTGGCTCAAATAGGGGAAATACTTGGGTCGCATCTTGAAGCTTGAATTCTGATGAATTCTAATTTTTCTGAAGTCAAATAGGATGTCATTGTGATAAAAGATTATTTTTATGTTTGGACAATTTATCTTTGAAGTCCAATTAGACTCTTATGTTTGAGTTGTTATTTTGTTGATGGGTGTGTGGACATGATAGTTTCATCTATTCAAGCACGGATACAAGGAGTATTCTTCTTATTATGAAAGTTTTAAAATGCTAGAAAGAGTAAGGTTGTTTTTGTTTGCGGTGCAAATCTGATTTAGATACAAATTTTGCWCCCAGTCTAGAAATCCATTTATTTGTAATTATTATTTGGACTCCTACCTAATACAAAATTTATGCCTTTTTCATCTCATTTATATTCTTCATTCACAATGCAAATTTTACGTCCCAAAAAACTGCAAATTTTATATCCCAAAAACTGATGTAAAAGACCGAGTAGAAAAATTTTATATTAAGTGGGTGTACCACAACATGGTTGACTTTCAGAGGCGAAGATAAATTTAAAATGTTTTCTTTTTTTTTTTTTTCTTTGAATTGGAAAGATAAATTTAATTAGTTCGACATAAGAAACAGTATTTCATAAGTCACCTTTGTCTTAACACTTAAGTTGAACCGTCTATTTATCAAACAGAAATGGTCAAACCTAACACAAGAGACAAATATATGATAGTTTGCTAACCCAACTCCAACCACATTCATTAAGACCAATAATATGTAAAACCAAACTTTTCTATGAACATAAATGGAGAAACTGGTACTTTCAACCCCTTGGGTCGGTCCACCTCAGCCTCAGCCAACCCAATGCAGCTTTGGTTTCATTTGGGGGCGAGATGTTCTGGGCTTAAGAAACGAGTCTGGATCTGATCCTTATTCTTCACACTAATCTCACAGCATATTCCAGTTACATGTTGGGAAAATCTCCCATCTCCCGTTCTTTGTTATTTTTTATGGGAGATGTTTTTAATACACAGTGAGATGTAGTTGTGAAGTCGGCGTGAGAAGCGTTTTATAAAGAGCAGATCCCAATTTTTAMGATTAGGATTAAAGCCTCGTGCAAACAAACCCAACTGAACTTGGCTGGGGTTTTAAGTCTTGACTTGGGCATTGTGAATAATACACATGGGTGGAAGGTKCTATGCGGAGAGAAAGGTGCCAAGCAACTGGTTGGTGAGGTTTCCTGAGATTATAGCGGAGATTTGAGATCGAATCCTGCCTGCACCTGAGTTGGGGATGGGCTAGTGTAGGCCTTCAAAAAGAATAAAAAAAAATCATTATTCATTCATCTAGAGATAAAATAATAAAAGGAAAACTTGGTATATGGGCAGCATGATGGTCCCACCATGGAAGCTAGTTGGGTCAATATGCCAGCTTTAAAATGGTCACAAGTGTTCAATTTTTCATTTGTACTCTTGGATAGAAAGTAAAAGCTGCAAATGCCCGAAAGCTTCGAATTAACATGATTAATGATCCGTTTGGCTTCTAGCTTTGCAAGATGGTCCCCACATAGAAAGTCCTGCAGCTATGTTTGGTGAAAAACCCTGAAAGTCCCAATTTTCTTTCATTCAGTAAAAAAATCAACTTTCTGTTGAAGCTAATTTTAGTAGATTTTCAAAGCAAGCGTGTAAAAACAGCTCAATCAAAACCGAAACCTCCCAAACAGGCCCTAAAAATCTTCTAGAGTTCTTCCAAGGACGAATCTATATATATATATATATATATATATATTTGTGTTTAATCGTCCAATTCTGTTTTATACGTGTAAAACAAAGTCTTTGTCCACAACACGATAAGTGTCCGAGTGAAAGTTACGTGTAAAACAGAGCAAGTCCGAGCGTGTCCCTGTGGCATTTCATGCAAACAGAGTATATAGAGCATCTCTTTGCATGAAAGTTACGTGTCCGAGTGACACGACATGTGTCCATGTGGCGTTTCTCCTCACTCTTTGTCTTCCCGCTACTTGCCTCTCTTTCTCTCACTCTCTCTTCTTTCTCTTTCTCTTGTAGCGTTTCTTTCTCTCTCGTCTCTTTCTCTCTTTCTCCTCTCTCTCGTCTGTCTTCTCTCGCCGTGGATTCTTGGGAGGGGAGCTAAATATTGGGCTTCAGATCTGCAACAGTTCTGTTAGACGGTTTGGGGTTTTCCGTGTTGGAGAAAGTCTGCTTATTTAAGATTCATTTTATAGAATTTATTGCCTTTTTTTATCGCTCTATTTAGGGTTTTTGATTAATCTGGGGTTTTCAATATATTGGTTGGGGCATTACTGATTTACTTTTGAATAATGTGCATGCTAAATTAATCATCATTCCAGTATTTGTGAAACATTCTGCTTATCAACCATGGCAGCATTATGTTCAGAGACATGGTCTCCTTTTGATGATTCAGTAATTGTATTTTATCATTGGTGTTTAGTTGTCTTGAAGTTGTTATGGTCACGGAATAGGAGAGGATAATTAATGGTGAATTTAACCTTCTTTTTAGATTACACCAGTCTTGAAAGGGAGTTGCAGAATACAAGGACCTGTAGATGAGGTAGAACATGACAATCAGAAGAATACGGTGAGACATCATTGACATTGGGCATTAAATTTTAGAATTTTGAGAAAATACTTGAAAATAAAAAATAAAGAATTATAGTCCAACGATGAAGAGATTTCACCTAACCGGTACATCCATATCAAAAAAGAAGATACGTCATAAGACAATTGTAGTTCTAGAGGGGTTATTAATTATTACAATTGATACTTATAAAAAAAATAGCTATTACTATTGATTATTTCATCTTTTTTGAAGTTATGGAAAGAAAAGAAAAATAGGGAAGGGGTGACTTTTTATATTCATGGTTTCTTGAAAAAGTAGTAGAAACTGTAGTTGCGAATACAAGATCTGGGCAAAGAATTTTCAAAAAAAAACAATTTGGGGTGTAGGGTGGAGAAATATCCAATTAGATTTTTGGGACCTTGGGTGCAAACCCACAATTTTTGCCTTATTGATATCTGAAAAATGTCAGAAATGGTTAGCAATGTGGAAGAGGAAGTACATCTTTAAACACTAAATGAGGAAGACTTATGCTCAGGCAAATCTCCTGGTTTACTATCTTTTAGTGTTCCAGAATCCTAATAAGTTGAGGGACCTTATTAGGATTGGATATCTATGTGCGAGGAGCAATCAAACCTTTGGACATCCATCATCTGCAAGAAATTTAGGATGAACACAAATGGTGGGACAATAACATCAACTCACACCATTTTTGCAACTACAGTTTGAGATCCTCTTTCCCATGCATATTTCAGTTTACCTTGCATAAGGATGCTATAATTTTTGGCTTCCTATTTCATGATGACAATGGTTTGGACTAGCATTTACAATTAAACATCTTCTTACGAATTCCAAGATAGAGGAATTTGTCTCTCTTATCAATAGTCCTAGGGATGTTTTTATTCTCCATCTACCATTGATACTAGAAATTGGTTGCCCCAAACCCAACCATTATGTCTCTTACCACTAAATATTTTCCCCATAGGCCCGGACTTTTATTTTTAACCCTGATTAGCATGTATTGCTTGGAAAAAAAACTGCCTTTCTTTTGTTCTACCTAGAGTATGCTTCTCTTTATGGTTGACAACCCAGGAAAGATTAGCACTTTTGATTCAGTCCTAAAAGAGAAGGATGCCCATCCTATGGTCAATTTGGGAAGAGAGAAAATAGGTTCTACCTAGGGCAAGAAAAATCCAAGGAAGCACTTGTGGAGGTTGTCACCATCAAGGTTACGCCAGTGAATTTTGTACGATCAATTACAAGCAATTTCTTAGAATTTTGTACGATCCATTGGTGTAATTGAATCATTTTGATCTTTGATCTCTCAATGGAAGTTTTTACTTTGAAACCTATGATTAAGCGGTGCTTTCAATGATCAAATTTTATTTTTTTGTGAAAATGTGAACTCCGACAATGAGAATGATAGATCTCATGATTGTTAAGTAGGTAATTGTCATTTGTCAATGTCACCAATATTCTTGAGATTACTTTTGTCTCTTTTTTTTTTTTTACCGGTGTTACAAGTGTTTCGAATTTAAAGTTAAACAGAACATTCATGAGTAATTCTTTTCTTATGAATTAGGTAGGAATTTTAAATGTTTGATCTGCAATGCATTGGCAATTGGACTTCTAGTATGAATCAACATGGTTAATACCGCTCGGGAGAAATTGGCCTGCAAGTGTGCAATAGATTAAAAAAGCTCAACCATGTTGGTAAGCTTTACTTTGTTTATGTTTGTTCTAGCTCTCCCCTCCTCTTCATTTTCCCCCTTGATTGTCATTACTGGCTACCCGAGGTGTCTATATCAGGGTGCTGTTTTGCTTTCACTTTTATTTTTATTTTTGGGTTGATTATAATTCACTGCATTCTATATAAGTGCTATCCAGCATCAGGATTAATGTAGAAAGCTTATTTATTTATTTATAACAAACTACACACATCTTTTAAGATTGGATGAATGAAACATGCTAGGTTTATTTTGGTCGATGCTTTTTCACTGATGAGGAACCACCACCAAGGCAAAAGATATTTCTTAGTTTCGCTGATTAGAAGAGATATCTCTTAGTTTCATTGATCAGAAGAGATATCTCTTAGTCTCCAATTAAGTTTACCCTAATTTCTACTCCTTTATTATTTAATCCATATTGCATATATTCTGCTTCTGTTCTGGTTATTTAAAAGCCCTTTGTCTCTAAGGAATTTATCCATAATCATATATAATTTTATGTTGTGAATTATCTGTAACTATTATTTGTGAAAATTATTAAATTAACAAAAATTTGTGATAATTATTTCAATTTACCACACTTATCATTAATTTATTGCAATGATAAAAAAATATTGATAAATAAAAAATAATAAGAGTAAATTTTAAAATATTTTTTTGTTGCTTTTGTAATTTGATAATTATGGAAATTCCAGTATTATAGTAATTTTGTCATTCACGAATTATTTTAAAATTTTCAAAATTCTGTAAAATTTACAGCAACAATTATCATTATATTATTTGTAATAACTAACAGTAAATTATTTTTAGTTATGGGTGAATTATTAGAAACTATTGAAATTGTAAGAATTATTTGTTTCAAAATTAGTTTTTACCAATTTTATATAAGTTAATCTCATTAAAAAATATAAATAATAATATAAAAATGTGGATCCCTTCACCGAAAATGTGCAGTATTTAGATACCCTAGACATTGGGGCTGTCTTTTAATCACCTTGGCTTTTTAATCTAATTCTGACATGGTTCCAGGCATTGATCTGCTCGGTTGTGCTGTTGATCGTTGTAGCTGTTCTTGTTTTTTAACTAATGGTGCTTCAGTTTCACCAATGCTTCTCACCTTTGTATTATCCCAGTTCCAAAAGAAGGCCCCTTCATTTGAAATTAAAACTTTAACCAAGAAGATGATAGAGTGATGGAAAGCTGAAATTTGGTGTTTTCCTCTGTTGCATGCTGCTGGATCAATTTAAGTAGAGATGCATGCAGAGAATCAGTATTAACAAAATAAATTGGATATGAATTTTAATTTATTTTAAGTAACTATTTTTTTCTAAGATACTTTCACTAAAAATAACTTCCCAATTTCTTTTCTTTTTCTATACAATAATTTCATTTCTCCAAGGGTCCCTCCGCTAGTCAATACGAATTCCCAATGCACACCCAAACACAAATTGGAAGCGTACGCGTGTTGATAATGTGAGACATTGACATGACTAATGGGGTCCATGAACAAGAAAAACAAAGAGAAAGAAAAAGACGTCAAGTCAAGAGACGATTTCAACCGTTTGATTTCTGTTGACAGTGGAAAAGTCTCTATAAAAGTTATGATATACGGACCAGATGGTAAGGATGATTTAACCATGCTGATCTCATCAATTGAACTTCAATACATTAATTGCCCATTCATGCCAAGCCGGTTGGAGAGATTGTGTGCATCTTGCTCAGCTGCAATGGAGGATACCTCTTGATGTGGCTGTTAATCACAATCAAAAAAACACTTTTTTTTTTCTCATAAAAAGTAGCTTTTTAAAGTTCCTTTCTTCTCCTTGTAGAAGGTATAAAGTCTTCCTTTTTTTCTCTTTTTACCTTTTACCCTTTCTAAAATATATATAATTTTATTTGCTATTCAAAGACTGATGAAATGTATGAAAGGAAAATAAGATCTTTTATCTAGTGAAAAAGTATGTAATTCCGCTTTTTCATGGTGGATGGCAAGAACTTGAAATGTTGGATGAATTGGTTTCAACATTCATGTGAAATGGAAATTCCTATTTACTTTTGGTCTTCCATGAAGGAGTGAAATAAAGTCCTATCATGTGGATGAATCACCCTTACTAGTCCCAAAAGCTGACAAACATATGATATTTGACCAATCATGTTATGCCACATCAGCCTAATATGGACCCATTTATACCAATATTTTAAAAATCAACCCGGAATTGGAATTATTTTGGCCATCGGTTTGATGGCCAAAATAAAATGGTCAAAAACTGTTGAACGGGTCAAATTGGTCAATTATTCAATTGTCTGAGTCAACAGGTCAATGACCAATTYAACAGTTTTTTGCCAAAAATYGGGTTTGGGGTAAAACAGAACTGGTTGCCTAAACGGTTTTCGATCTGAACAGTCTAACCATCTAGGTCAACGACGATTCGAAAGCATTGACTTATACAAAGCTGACATGGTGTATCATGACTACCTCAAACATACAATTAACAGTATAGATGATTTTAACCTATGATAAAAGACTACTCTCTTGCCATTGTTTTACATGTCATCGTATAAAATTTATGACATATACTAGATTATGGTTTATGAAAACTCCCAAATGCATCAAGTGCAACCTATTATGGCAGAGCTAGTATCCTTTGGAAAGTGCTAATGGAGATGAGGAAATTTGCAACGAGAACTTCTATAGAATCTTGTGTCTATTTAAAATTAGAGTTTTAACTAGCAGAGGGGACCTTGCATTGCAGAGGCTCGCTCATAAACTATCAAGCTCAAGCTCGATTCGAATTAGAGACTTGAGTTCGACTCGAGTCAAAAGCTCAGAAGTTTGAGGTCGACTACTTTTGGTTACGGGTCTTTTAAGTAGCCGAGGTCTTCCTCAATTGCCGAAGTGTTAAATCGAGGTCTCCCTCAATTGCTGAAGTGCCAAATCGAGGTCTCCCTCAGTTACTGAAGTGTCGAGCTAAGGTTTCCCTAGTAGGCGATGTGTCGAGCTAAGGTCTCCCTTAGTTAACAAGGTATCGAGCTAAGGTCTCCCTTAGTTGACAATGTGCCAAGCTGAGGTCTCCCTTAGTTGTTGAGGTGTTGAGCCGAGATCTCTCTCAGTGACCGAGGTGTCTAGYCGAGGTCTCCCTCAATGGTCGAGGTGTCATCTAGCTCAAGGTCGATAAGAATTAGAGACTTGAGCTTGAGCTCAGAAGTTCGAGCTCAGTTTGGCTCGGCTCGAACTCGACTACCTTTGATTGTAGGTCCCCTAGTAGCCGAGATGTCGAGTTGAGGTCTC